GAGTGTCAATATAAGAGGTTCATTGCATTTACTTCAAAGGGAGAGAGAGAGAGAGAGAGAGAGAGAGAGAGAGAGAGAGAGAGAGAGAGAGAGTGGAAGAGAGCAGAAAAAAAAAAAAAAAAGAAGAAGAGTCGAGCAATCAATTTTCTGGGCTGAGGTCACAGTAGCAAAGAGGAATGGATGTAATGCCTGCATCTGAACGTGTTTGCGGAGAAGTGCAGAAAAAACTGCTGATTCATCTGGTTTTCTGCATCTCTGCTTATAATCCATCCAGATCAGAAGCTGAATGCAATCCTCTTTGCTAGGTCAAAGCTGCGGCCCATAAGAAAACTCAGCACACAGTAAATAGTAAATACTAAATACTGTGCAGATTCTGCAGAATGAAAAACGCAAAACAGGTGTTTTTTTTTGTTTTTTTTTTAATCAATTTAATGACGAATAACGGTTCAATAACCCCAATTCCCATTGCTTAAACCACCAGTTCACGTCTGCTTACTGTACAACGTACATGAGGGCTCTTTTTTTTTTTTTTTTTTTTTTTTTTTTTTTTTTTTTAAATCCAGCAGGCCCAATGCCTAACCCTGAAACCAGCAGTTCACGTCCGGTTACTGTTCATTGAAATCTGTCGACGACAACTGGCACTGGGCCGTTCGGCCTAGGGCTGGTAAAGCGTAGGTAGGCCTAGTGCTGGTGGGCCAAAAAAGAAAAACAATCAAACTTCCAGTGGTCGGCGTGCAATGATGACTCCAAGAGGCGTAGGTTCAAGTGGTGCAAAAGGAGAATGAATCTTCCCACGAAAGGGAAAAGATATGATGCTTCGTAGGGGAAAAAAAAGGGAGTAGATACAATATGTCGTTAGTTAGTTTTGTATTTTCTGCATGTGGTGAGCGTGTGGCGAGACCCAACAGCAGAACGAATCTTCCCAAAGAATTGGAGAGATGCATCACCTCAGTAACAAAGAAAACACGCAAAAGAGGGACAGCACATTGTAGGTTTTGTCTTTTCTGCATGTGCTACGTGTGTGGGGAGAGCGAAGTGGAGAATGAATCTTTTCAAACTAATGGAAAGATACAGTGCCTAAACCTAGGCTGTTTCTCCCGGCGCCCAGGCAGCCAACTTCTGCCCAGGTACACGCCCGGGTGCCCGGCCGGGCATGATCCGCGGGCAGGGTTCCAAGCAGCCCCAACGCAAAAAATAAAAATAAAAATGAAATTAAAAAAAATCTGGGGAAAAAATATGTTCTGTAGAATTGAAATGCAAACGATCCAGCGGCCTAGCTCAGTTGGTAAGGCACGCAAGTGGCATTCAGGAGGTCTTGGGTTCAATCCCCATTGGCCTCATGCACCTTCCTGGGCAAGCTTGGTGCCCGCCACCTAGAGACATGCCGTTGGTCCCCCCGAGTGGCATTGAGCAGAGCCTGCTGATGTTCATAGGGGGAGGGGACCGGAGGGGAGGCACAGTGACTGGCCCATCGAAGAAGCTCGGTCCTGATGCTACCGGCTGACCCCTGGCCGGCATCGCCCACCTGCTGTAGCAGGTATCACACCTGCTGGTGGGTGCAGCTCCCGCATGTTCCCTCGTTGGAGGCTTGAGCATGGATGTGGCTGCTACGGGGTTCCCCGTAATACTATAGTGACGATAAAAAAAAAAAGGCCTGAAAGGCCGTCCTGTCCAGATTTGACAGGTAATTGAATTGGTTGGGCTTAAAGAATTAGCCTTTTTAAAAATAAAAAATAAAAAAGAAATGCAAACGACTTTTGGCTGCGGGTCACGTTATAATTTCTCACAGAATCGGAGATAAAAAGGAAAATAACAGAATCACACAAAGGCACCCTCCTTTTAACCCCTTTAGCCCCTTTAAAACCAATTTATACCTCCCTCCCGCCCCCTTGACAGCCAACTCACAAAAAACGAAACGAGCCTGGATTTGGGGTCCTCTGGGTGAGTGCGGAAAACCCACAAAAAAAGAAAAAGATCTTTTCTTTTTTTTGCACGCCTGGGTGCCGGGATGGGCATGAGAATCTTCCTAGGCGTAAACCCCCCCCAAAAAAAAAAGGAGATACACAGCTGAAAAGACAATCATGAGGGCACTGTACCTCCCTCCATGTTCTAGCGCACGATTCATTCTCATATTGCGCATCCGGTGAGTGGTGAAGACATGACTTAATGACATCGTCCTTTGTCACACGCACTGCTGGTACGGGGATCACCTTCCATTTGCCAGCTACCGTCTTTACCCGAAGACGGTAGCGGTACCCCGGCCCTCATGATCTGGTTTCTGCATCTGGGGGGTGCCAGTCTGGTTGCTCCTCTTTTTTTTTCTGCTCCTCACAAGCAAGTCAAAGTTTGATAAGAGCAAGACAAAGGGAAACTAGAAAGTAAGATAGAACAGGTAGACGGGTCAGATTCCCTCCCCCCCCACTCCCCTCCCTTCCTGAAAAAAAAGTCAATGTCTGAGCTGGAGTCGGTCACCAACCCAATGAGGGTGGAATCGGTGCAGCAGGCAATTCCTAGTGTTTAGGGAGATCCAGTTACGAAGAAGTGTGTGGGATTGAGCAAATGACCACTGACACAAGGATTTTTCAGTCCTTTGCTACCCAACTAGCTCCTTTGGGTAAGTTAAGTTTTCTACCCAACTAGGTCCTTTGGGTAAGTTAAGTTTTCTACCCAACTAGGTCCTTTGGGTAAGTTTTCTTCCCAACTAGGTCCTTTGGGTAAGTTTTCTACCCAACTAGGTCCTTTGGGTAAATGTTCTACCCAACTAGGTCCTTCGGGTAAGTTTTCTACCCAACTATGTGCTTTGGGACATCTGTCAAAATCGGAATGATACACAGAAGATTAGCATGGAACCTGCAAAAAAAAAAAAAAAAAAAAAAAAAAAGAAAGATCTACGGAGCTAATCTTCTACCTGCGGACACATACAAAATGAAGGAAAAAAGTGTTTCTCAAATCGCAAATGATTTCAATTCCAAGGGGGAGGTGGGGAAATTGTCATAACATTTCTTTTGGTTGCTCGTGGTCGGTGGGGTCGTGGTGGGTGGGTGGGAGGGTCATAAAAGATAAGGGTCCGGGTAATGGCTCTTGCAGCGGCAATCTCCTCTGCATCGCCGAAAGCGGCGGAAGCAGTGCAGCAGATGGGATTGCTCGACTTGATGGTGAAAGAGGTGGACTCTGGCATTGATGTCCTCACACAGCTCAATGCGTTGGAGCTCCTGGCTGAGGTATGTTTTTTTTTCTTTTTTTACGTTTCTTTTTCTTGTATATATCGTCAAACAGAGTATGTCGACCTGTATGCATTATGAGTCATTACGACGCTGCACAAAGTGCTATATGGAAGTGCAGTCCTTCATGTTCTCGCCTCTGCAGCATGTTGTGTTTTTTTGCCTCCCCTCCGTCTCTCTCTCTCCATCTCTCTCTCCGTCTCTCTCTCTCCATCTCTCTCTCTCCGTCTCTCTCTCTCCGTCTCTCTCTGTGTCTCTCCGTGTCTCTCCGTGTCTCTCTCTGTCTCTCTCTCTGTCTCTCGCTTTCTCTCGCATACTCTGATCATCCTTGTGTGAGGGTGAACCTGTCTTACCATGTTTGTTATGCTGTGATTGTTGCTGCTGTCTTCCTCCAAATAGAATGTGCTGCAATCAGACTCGTTTTCTTTTCCACTTCGCATACATGCAAACAGACGGCGATTCACGCTGGCGCAGAGCGCTCACTCAAAGCTCAGAGATACGGACAACGAGAACACAGTTCAGTTGCAAATTCACTTCAACAGGCTATGGCGCACCAGCGCCTGTACATCCCACTCTCGTCACTGTGTCCGACACCACTGCTTGCACATGCTCACTCTGGATCACCCTGAATACTCAACACACGCACACTCTATCAGCTACCTCTACCCTACGGCGGCTATGGCAGCTCGCCACTACTACTACGGCTACTATGTCTCCCTTCAGCCCACTTCTACCTCGGGCAACCTGCAGACCACCTTCGCACAAGACGCTGTAGCAGCGCTTCCGCATGGCTTACGCAGCGAATGAATGAATGGCTGGGCGCTGCCTCTTGATTTATACTTCGGTAACTCGTTGGTCTTCCCCTTTTCCAGGCCCTTGGTGTACACCGTCCCACACGGTACTTGCTTGACTGGCTTCTGACTGACTGGGACCGGTACTGCTGACTGCATGGGTTTGCACTGCCAACTCGATGCAGTCGCACTGCCGACGTAGTGCAGTTGGGTTCACCACTTGCCCACTTGCCTCTGACTAAAACGTGAGACACTTCGAAAGGCCACTTCCGGACCTTCCGGAAGGTCTGTGGATTTGGCCTTTTGGGAACTGTAGCAGCTACGACCTTGACCTTTCAGGACTGTAGCCGCTACGACCTTGACCTTTCAAAGCATTTACAGCCACGACCTCTACAGAGCTGTGACTCCTAATCGACAGACCTACAGATCAAACCCCTACCGCCACACAGACCTACGACAGACGACAGACAACTACCAAAACACAGATCACGGGTTCAAACACTCAGGGGTCGACTCGATACTTACATGGGCAAAGTGAGGTCTGGGGATCGAACTCTAGGGCCCGCATCCGTGACTGCAGAAAGGTGAAAACCGTTTCAGTATGCATTGTGTGGTCATTAAAAGTGTATTTAGGGGGTCCTTTGCTCCATGTAAGTTTTTTCTACCCATGACTGGATTTCAGTCCAGACGCAGCAATGATGACCACACTCACGTTCTGTTCGGGAGAAGACAGTAGTTTCTACTTTTTGGTGAATCTGTCGCCTAACCAAAAGGCTGCTTTGATCTCTCGGCTACATTTTGCTAAATCTGTTGGCCGAGCTATTTTTGGACCGATGCTTGCCAGACTAGAATGAAGCCTTGCTGTTGCATACCGTATAGGTGCAGACCAGAACAAGAACCGACCTTTCAATACAAAGTATAAGATAGCACAGCGGAAGACTTAGATACTAGTGATCCGAACAATCAATGTTGTAATGCAGCCCTGAACATACATCATCATCATCGTTTCATAGTGTGAATGGGTCTGGCGCTTCACACAGGAAGACAGCGCCAGCCCAGAACATGCACAGACGAGGAGGAAGGGGATAGACGAAGAGGAGGGGGAAGATGGGAATGTCGTCAACACCAAGTCTTCGGCACAAGCCCAAATAGTCCCTCGTCRAACTGTCTGAATCCCAAATGTCAAGTCTGGATCCAATGTCGTCAAGTCTCAAGTCACAACTCTGTCTCTCTCTGTCRTAGTCTGAGAAGTCAGGTGGCGAGAGGGTGAGAAGAGAAGGTGGACTTAGAAGAGGAAGAAGAAGAACTCTCTCTCTCCCTGTGTCCAGTACTAACCTGTGAAGTTGGCGCCTTGATGCAGGTACCACGAAGCTGGAGCTGGAGCGATGGCGCCACAGGTAAGTAACACTGGCCTCTGCCAGTCTCTCTCCCACTCTACGATCTACTACCTACCAGCGCCCAGCGCTGAAGACTAAAGCTACAGATATGGCGCCCAGCGCCAAAGACTACAGCTAGCGCTACCGCTACTGCCTAGCGCTGAAGACTACTGCAGCGCTCCTCCTGAGTGCTGCGGCCGAATCCTGAAGACTACTCTGCCTACTGACTACCYACCCGTGAAGTGCATGGGAACCTCCTATGTACTACGGGTGTGCCTCTTGAGCCTGCCGAAGGAAGGCAGGGGCTGCAGCTGCAGCTCCTGCTCGAGCACGTGAGGAACAGGCTATTTTGGGCCTGTTCCGCATCCCTGTTTCCGTGCCTGAGTCTTAGGGGCAGGTCGAAACAATGAGGGCCTGAAAATGGCCCTCCGTTTCAGGCTGAAAACTCTGGGTCTGGCAGGTCGAAACAATGAGGGCCTGAAAATGGCCCTCCGTTTCAGGCTGAAAACTCTGGGTCTGAAAAGACCCAGAAATAGGCTGAAACGAGGTAGGGCCTGCAGGCCCTCGTTTTTCACCATCCAGGCTGAACTGAACGGGGCCTGTAAGCCCTAAGTTTTAGGCTTTTAGGCTGAATGTCCGGGACGGGCCCTGTAGGCCCGTGTGGCTACGCAGTATGCCACACTTGCTCAGAAGGCTTCGCTTGTGTTTCCCCCGGCTGAATTCTGATTTTTAACCCTGTTTGTCTGTTTGTCTGTTTTGTTTGTTGTTTTGTTTGTTGTTTTGTTGGTACAGCTTGCGAGCACTGCCAATGGCGCAGATTTCATCGCAGCAGGGAACATCTGTGGAAGGCTGGCAAATATAATCAGGTCAGTGTCAAGTGTCATTGCGCTGACACTGACTGCAAGCGTCATCGTTTTTTTTTTTTTTTTCCCTTTTCTTTTCACAAGCTTGCTGTATTTTCCGAAAAAAAGAACAAAAAAGCTGCATGTATTTTCCTGGAGTGCTGATTGCTTGTTTGCCGTGTCAGTGTGACTGATTGCTGGCAGTTTGACAACCGCAGTTGTCTGCTAGAATATGAGTGGAAACCCTGCAAGCTTTGGAAAATCAGCTTCGCATCCACTCCTCATCTCTGATTTTTATGCGGCTCAATGCAACCATGACCATCACGACCACCTCGAAGATTTCTAGAACACATCCAAGAAAAAAATTCCAACTCGCTCCGTCATTTGTCTGCTCATAGCATGCTCTGAACCTCTCAATCATAGACAGACCATTTAGACCGACTGTTTGCCCATTAATCCATTTGTAATGACATGTACTAACAATGAATCCATGTATTTAAGTTAGTGAATCATTAATTTATTATCTCAAAGGTGTTAATTTAATATATGTTATCCTTGGTCTTGACTGCATGTATCTGGACTGGAAACTGGACCAGACGCATTCAGACTGCTCCAGCATTTTGAATGTATACATACCATTACTGAGGCCCGTTCATCCATTTTGTAATGGGATGTGCTGATAATTAATCCTTTTCTTCTAAAATTTAATCCGTTATCCCTACACTTACAGAAATTGCTAACGTGAGAATTGGCAGATCCGGGCCACCGCGGTCCTACGGACCGCACGGTCCTGGATTTTCGCGCGATCTTAAAGTCTTAAGATCGCGGGACGATCCTCGCCATTCACCAGGTATGACCAGGGGCGGCCTGGATCGTCGCGCCCATTGAAAAGCGGGCGACGATCGGCCCTGTCTTTGGCGGCTCAGCAACGTGGTGTATAGGGCCCTGTCTTTGGCGGCACGGCGACAGGGTGGTATGGGGCCCTGTCTTCGGCGGCACAGCAACGTGGTGTATAGGGCGTTGTCTTTGGCGGCACAGCGACGTGGTGTATAGGGAACTTGACAACACGCACTCATGGCCCCGCCCATCCGCCCGTCCGCACAAGCACACACACAAACACACATGCACATGCATGCACACACTTACACGCACGCACGCTTGCATGCAGCGAACTTGACAAGACACAGACAACACGCACTCATGGGCCCATCCGCTCGTCTGCGCAAGCACACAAACAAACACACATGCACATGCATGCACACACCCACACGCAGGAACGCACGCACGCAAGTGCATTGTGGGCAGACTGTCGGGGTTCAACCTCCTGATGAGTTGGTGAAGGTCCAACGAAACAGTCTGGCACAATCATGCTTTTTGGGGGGGGAGTTCCCATGAACACATGAAGTGTGTGTGCACGTGTGCGCGCGCGAGAGCGAGAGAGAGAGAAAGCGCGCGCGCGCGCAAGAGAGAGAGAGAGAGAGAGAGAGAGAGAGAGAGAGAGAGAGAGAGAGAGAGAGAGAGAGAGACCAAGTGCCCCACCATGACAATCCTGACTGATGAAGTGATGATGAAGACGGCAATGAAGTTGAAAGATAAGGAACATGTTCTGCCAGGACAAGGCAAGATGGTGATGGTGCCAGGAATCGAGAAAGGGGGCAGAAACAGGCTATGGTGGTTTCATTTTTCTTTCCTTACTGACTCTGATCGCGAAAGGGAGGAGGAGGAGGAGGGGGAGGGCGGCGACGAGGACGAGGAAGAGGAACACGAGGACGACGAGGATCAAGTGGCCTACGCTGCTATTACTTGCTAAGCATGCCCGACAACGTGGGGGGGGGCAGAGGGGGACGGCGGGAAGCATTGTGGATAGAGAACCGTAGGTTGAACATGTAAGGCGGGAGAAGGCAACAAATACATACATGAAATATGTGAAAGTGGGACAACGACAACAGTTTGTGGATGAACACAAGAAACTGAATACTGGAGGATCAGAAGGACAAGGTCGGAAGACGAGGGGGTCGGGGAAGAAAGAATGGAGGAAGAAGGACGAGGACGATGGGAACGAGGGGGAGGAGGATGAGGAGGAGGAGGAAAAGGAACAGCAAGAAGAGGGGGAGGCGAAAGCCGAACAGGAGGGTGGGTAGGGAGGGACGAAGAGATGGAGCTAGAGGAGGGGGATTCGGAGGAGAAAGGGGATGGACGAGACGAAGAGGGAAAGTACAGAGGAGGGTAAGGAGGGAGGAGGGAAAAAGTTAGGGGGAAAGTCGGGGGGTTGGGGGGGGGAATGCTAAAGGTGCGAAACCGCACGACATGGCTGGGCCACATAGCTCAATTTTTTATTTTTTATTTTCCATAAATTGTGTTTGTGTATGTGTGTGTCGGAGAGAGAGAGACAGAGGTGGGAAAAGGGGTATGGAGAAGGGGGGAAAGCTAGGGGTACGTCGAAGGAAGGGTTTGGGGGTTGAAGGCACGAAATCGCGCCACGTGATTAGGATGCGAAATCGTGCTCTTTCTTTTCATTTTTATTGTTCGTGTGTGTGTGTGTGTGTGTGTGTGTGTGTGTGTG